TGGAACTCAATGGGAAAGCAAAGGATTCTTTTTCTTATTTCAACTGTTGCGTATATTAGTATATGCATCAAGATGCGATGACCAAAAAAAAATGTGATTGACAGATGGCCGTTGATATATATGATTAGTCGAATTTAGGTGTACAAGCTGAAGTATAACTAACCGGCCTGCATAAGATAACGAAAAAAACCAAACATATTTTAAGACAGGATGAATGATTTGACAATTAAATATGATTTCCATACAACTTTAAGACTTGATTTAACTCTAGTAAATCATAAACACTTTAGCTCTGTTTAGGAACAGACAAAGCAAAACGTTTTTATTTATGGGGGAGTGCTTTTGGTGCTTATCTTTTTTTTGGCCGAGGCCCAAGTATGCAAAAATTTGCAGAATGAGTTTTAAATTTCCACCACAATTATTGGCAATACATGCAATGCTGTTGGAATCTGTGGTTTCATCAGTCCATCCAGTCCAAGAATGATGATCTAAGGTCGGATCAAGTCCAGCACTATTAACTAAAACCAACCAACTCTTATAAGGTTTGTTTATAAAGCGCTTATTCAGTTCTAGCTGAGGTCCTGGGAATACCTCTGAACTTTGAAGATTAAAGAAAAAGACCCAGACGAACCGTTTTCCTGTATTCCCGGATCATCTTTAGTTTGTCCTCGCCCCCTTTGTTCTCCTCCTTCTGCTCCAGGCTGCTGATGATCCTCCATGACGCTCTCCTGGCTCCAATCACATTCTTATACGCTACAGAGAGCAGGTTCCTCTCCTCCACGGTTAGCTCCACATCCATGCTGGCCACCTTCTTCATCGACTCCACCATTTCTGAGAGATCAGGGGAACAACAGGAACCATTTTAAACTTTGTTTAAAGCCTGAAGAGCAAAGCTTTTCTAGTTTTAAGCTCTAAACGTTCCAAACAAAGCCTTTCACCAATTCTTCTTCTACAACTCAAATATAGATCTAATAAAACCTAATGATACAACATTTTATCCCTTATTCATCAGACAATACAATCTGGGACCTTTCCAGACATCAGTGGAAAATACTGACAATCCACTGGACTTTGTTTCCAAGTTTGAAGACGTTTTGTTTCCCATCCAGGAAGCTTTTTCAATTCAAAATGTCAGAAATAGCAATGAGTTTGAGGCTTTATCTTTTATATTTAGGACCCCCAAATTATATATTTTTTTATAAAATTGTTTTATATCAAACTGGTCCTATAGTCACTCTATTAAAGACGGAGTAATGTAACGAAAGTAATTTCTCCCTGGGATTATTAAAGTATTTCTGATTGTGATTCCTGGTTGATGGGACAGGTGTTGTGAATGAAACGGTTCCCATGCAGCTTGAAAGAGCTCCTGTGTGTCGCTGAATGTGTGCATTGATGACTGAAAGACATCTTCTTCCTCGATTTACCTGTTTACTACTGTGTGTTGAATTCATGTTAATGTATTTTTTAAAGACAGTTCAATTAGTAGAAAAAAAATAGCAGGAGGGAATACAAAAAAATAAATCAACTAATCTAATCAACCAAAACTTTCGAAACCCCTACGCAGAACCTCTGTGGACCCCCTAGGAGTTGCGGACCCCCTGTAGAAGACCTCCACTTTATATAGTAGCCGAACAAAGCCTTGTTTTGGCTTAGAAAACATGCAAATTGAACCGGAGGAATGGGTCCACCCCTTAAGAATGGGGTTCGTTCCAGTTCTTTGTTAGCCTTCAATACCCTGATACCAGTCTATGTCTCTGAACCAGGTATGGGGTAATGCAGGCTAACAAAGAACTGGAACGATCCCCATTCTTAAGGGGTGGACCCATTCGTCCGGTTCAATAGGGCTCGGGATCCGCGTTGCATTGTGGGACGTGGCGGCCATATTGAGGGCTACGCAAACGTAAACATAGCTCTGATACAACGTTGTTGTTGAAAGAAGAGACGTAGAAGTAGAGAGAAAAAAGATGTTAAAATCCCGAAAAAGATCTGGAATTTAC